TAATTGCGGTGATCCAGGTCACTTTGTGAGGTGGTGTCCCCATCCGAAACCTTCCAACCCCAAGTCTGCTCTTGTTACGACTAATGCCCCTCTTCTTACCGTTCCGACTAATGGTAACCCTGGCGGATCATCTTCCTGTTCTGCAAGTACCTGTGCAAGAAGTCCATCGCCTTCAGAACATTTCCCCATGAGCGAACTAGTGGACCCTGCAGGCTTCTTTCCCAAACGCTCAATATCCTTACGAAGTGCCTCAACCTCATTGGTGTTACCCTTTCCTCGCAGAAGCTCAACCACGCCATCCAGCCTAGAATTCATGGACTCAGTAAGTGACTTGCGAAACTCCTCCAACTCCCGACGTTCATCCTCCTCTTTTTCTTTCTCCTTTCTGTCCTCCTCCTCCTTCAGACTCTTCTCCTTCTGTACTTCAGAATCATGCCGAATCTTCATCTCCGCAACTGTATGCTCCAAATATTCCAAACGTTCCTTAGTCTGACTCCAGCTCGAGCCACGACCAAAGTGGCTGGAAGAATTCAAATTAGAGCGCAATTGGAGGACGCCCTTGCTGCTAAGCGGCGCTTGGAGGGTATTGAGAAGGAGATGAGAGAGGTGATTAGGGCACGAGATGACGCGCGTGCGGAGGCAGAGAAATGGCATGAGGAGGCACTTCGCCCTGGGAAGCGGGTCTGTATTTCTTTGTCCACACCTGCAAAAACGATTAGTCGACCTCCTAGATCATCTCCTCGGAAGTCGCCGGTTGCTTCGGCAGATTTAAGAAGGGTGGTTGACTTGCATCGCTTGGAAGTCGAAACGATTCAAGATATGCGGACTTGGGACTTCAATGCGCGCAGGGAGGCTGAGCAGGAGCTGGAGAAACCAGAGCGAGGATTATTCAATTGGAGAAGGAGCGGGTTGTGCCTGACAAGACTTCTCAGACTCCCCGCTCCAACTTGCACATTCGAATGGAAGAGGCGGCTGCTATGAGAGGGAAGGAAAAGGTAGGATTGGACCAGACTTGTTCGCTGGATGCTGAAAGGAAGGCCAGTTTCGTTAGAGATGCCAGAAAGGAGTTGAAGGGGTTGACCAAGGATGTGTTGACCGTAATATGTGAGAAGGAGGGTGTTAAGTATGTTGGTATCAAGCAAACTGTGGAGGACATCATTGCGCATCGGGTTAGCAAGGCTTTTCCGCCGTCTAATAATGCAGTTGAGGTGTCGGAAGACCTGGTTGGCAATGAAGGTAGGGAGGTCGGGGGAGACTCTGCCAATTCTAGGGTCTCTCCTGGATGTGACGTGTTTGAGGTGGATTTTCTCTCACTCTTATCAGTTACATGTGTCTACACCTTCCTTTCTTCGTTGTCGGGTTCTCAATTCTTTCCTCTCCATTATTGTAGTAGGGCTTATTCTTGGTGGAGCCATTGCGTGGGCTAGTAAATTTATTGATCATATTGCTGAGGTTACTTCGCGTCTCTCTCCAGCACCCTCCTTAAGTTCGGATCCCGGCGAACTTAGCGTTCCCACATCGCCTTTGATCTGACTGTGGTCTTCCTTGTGCCCCTTCATCGGACCCCCATTTTCGTCTAACCTCAGACGTGCGTATGGATCTCTACTGCATCGCGGGTTGTGATAACCGCACAAGTGCGGATCCAGTCTTGCTCTATGTCTCTTTTTCTCGCAGCCTCCTTAAGTTCGGATCCTGACGAACTTCGCGTTTCGTCTGTCTGTTGAATTGACAGTGGTCTTCCTGATCCCCAGTGGATTGTGACAACAGCCCGAGTCAGCCCAAATCCGGACTTCTCTTTTCGCCCGGATAGGGTCACAGGACATGCTGGACCGGCTCCTGCGTTCGAACTTGGTTGCATCCGGCGCCAAGCTACGCATAACGCCAATATGTAAAGCAGAAGAAGTGCGGATGCGGGCGGACTTCTCATTTTCAACCAGCCTTTCATGCAAGTGTGGACTTCCTGGATCCTCGTTGAGTTTAACAACCACAGAATTACAGATCGTGTGTCTCTTTCACCGTCTCTCTATCGCACCCTCTTTAAGTTCGGGTCCCGGCGAACTTCGCGTTTTCGGTTGCGCGTTGGTTTGTCTGTGGTCTTCCTGGTGCCCGGTGGATCGCGCAAACCACCCGGATTCACCCCCGTTCGACTTCTCGTTTTGCCCGTATGCTGTTCCCGACTGTGCTTGCACAGGAACGACCTTGGAAGACTGGCTGCATCAGCTGACGCGCTTCGAGCTGTTGCGAAACCGGAAAGCAGAAGAAATTCAGGTGTCCGCGCACTGCGAATTCTCATGTGGCCTCTGATGTGACTGCGGTCTTGCTTGTTCCCCGTGGATTACAGAAACCACAAACAAGTGGATCATGTCTCTCTCTCTCTAGGGCCTGTCTCTTATACACATCTAGCAGAAGAAATTCAGGTGTCCGCGCACTGCGAATTCTCATGTGGCCTCTGATGTGACTGCGGTCTTGCTTGTTCCCCGTGGATTACAGAAACCACAAACAAGTGGATCATGTCTCTCTCTCTCTAGGGCTCTCCCTCTCTCGCACCCTCTTTAAGTTCGGATCCCGGCGAACTTCACGTGCTCACATGTCCGAATCGGGGTTCCGGAAGGTCTCTGTGGGCGGAGGCCACTGACCCGTCCAGCCGGCATCCGAGCTTCGCATACTGAGCGGAGGCCAGTAGCCCGTCCAGTGCGAGCTACGAACAGGACCGCCCACCGACTCCCTCACGACATGCCCACATTCTAAGTCCGTCGGCATCCGAACTTCACAAATTCTCGATGCGTCATTGACTCAGACACCCATCTACGGAATAGCTTCGGTTCGGGTGTCGTTGTCGCCTGACCACCTACAAGATGTGCCAAACATGCGTTGATTGTCTTCGTGAATTGCCAAAAGCACTCTTGGGGGTCCTTGTTGCGGGGTTTGGGTCCGTTCGTCGCGCAGTTATGTTCTGCTTGAACAGATCTGGGGTACAGTGAGCAAACGGTCCCCGTCGCGAGAGCTTGTTGTTGGATATGGATTTGTTTTGAGCAGAGTTCCGCACTCCACAAATCCATGTCCAGTGGGGCCCCCTTCGAATTCCCATGCGGTTCTCGCAGGTTATCAATTGTTCGGGCAGTCTTTCGAGATGCTTAATCACAACTGGGGCAAATGTGGCTGGCCTCCCGGGACTGTGAACCAATAGAACTTCACCGACATCCAAACAAGAATGTCGCGCGGTGCTTTGCAGCTGTGGCAATTCATCCGGGAACGACGAACGTCAGTGAATGACAGTTTCCGTCAAACTCCGCCGACATCCAAACTTCACGGAACGACAGGGAAAGGGTCATGCGGTCCGTTGTCGCTTTGGACACGAACTTCACACAATGACGAACGGTTTCGGTCGAAGTCCGCCGACATCCGAACTTCACCTAATGCAGCAACGGTCATGTGGTCCGTAGAAAACGAGAGAGAGGTCCAAATCTATATGCGCAAACTGAGGGTTCCATGCTGCGCGCCGCCAAGATAATATTCGTGTGCGTGAGTATGACATGCCTCAATAATCTAAGTCCAAATCCCGGCGAGTTGCGGTTATTTCCACCGGCATGCATCAGCGCCAATGAAAATGATGGCCGCATGACGTGTGTCCCTTTCCAAAGATTGTTCGCGTTGCTAGGCGGGGGTTGTTAAAGGGCTTCGTGTACGAAGCTCACCGTAATTTGAACTTCTTGGTTCGGGAACGACGTGATGTGGCTGACAAGTGCAGTGGAGTGTTTCCCGTCTGTGTTTGTGATGCTTTGTTACCGCCTGCGCTGTGGTTTCACTATGACTTGATTGTTTCTGCTCTTGTTTTCCCAAACCTGACAGCGTGGTGGTTTGCTTCATTCGCGTTGTCGTCCTCAGACACGATGTCTTCGTCGAGGGGCGAGGGGGAGCCTGTCGGGGCCTCCGGGATGTGATCAGGAAAATATTCCACAAAACGGTCGTTTACGGCCTCGAAATCGTGGTCAGACCACTCAAGGTCGAAATGGTTTGTTGACTGGTGTTGTGAGGATGCTTCCAACCCCGTTAAACAGCCGTGTGGTCCTATCATCTTCGTCGATACCAACAAGCGGCGTAGGGTTCTGGGGGCGGTCTTGTGGTGGCAGGACGCGAAAAGCAGTCGTCGACGGTTCTATATGCAAAAGGTTTACGGGGCGAAGGGCAACGTCGTCGGCAATCCCAAGGGGGCGCTACTGGACATGGATTTGTTTGAGGGGTTCGGAGCGGGTGCTGTGAACACCCCATTCTACAATGAACTCCTGCGGCAGGGCGGGTTTGTTTTGGGTCGAGAGTTTTTTAACTTGTTGGAGGACAAGGACGTCGGCCTCGACGTCCCCTGCGACGTCGGCCCCGACCAGGAGCTGTCAATGCCCTTGCAGTTATGCGGCGGTTGTGAATCCAGTGGGGCTGCGGCGGAGGGGGGGGATCTGGGTTCCAGTGCGGCTACTTAGCTGCAGCGGTCGGAGAGTCGCGGTCAATTCGACGACAGCGAAGATGAGGCAACACCGCTAGTGACGTCTTCGTCGTTGACCCGAAGAGACCGGTCCGTGCTGTCTATACCTGGGGTCCGACAAACAGCACCGGTTCGAGAGGAGGTCGAAGCGGATCCTGGAAAGGCGGCAGCGTAGTGTGAGCTCGACTTGGAGACTGTCGAGTGCTATGGCACGGAGGACGAGACCGTGGGCGGAGAGGGGACACAGGGCACTCCGCAAAAAAGAAGGGGAGATCGTCAAGACGACTTGGTCGGCTCTTCGAAGAAACAGACGACTAAGGCTCCTAAGAGAGCGGGGGGGAAACAAAAGGGAACGGCGGGGGAGCAGGACCGCCCGGGTAGCAAGCGTCCGGCTTCGAAACAGAAGCAGCCTGCGTCGGGGCTTTCCTCGGCACGGCCTGCCATCGATGTGGACGCCGGGTACTTCCTGGAGTACAAAGACGGCGTTAGGACAAGGCGGGAGTTTGAAATTAGCGCGGTTCAGGTCGTCAATCTCGGGGAGTGGGAGGATCTGTACAACTAGCGGTCCCTGGATCCCATTCTGGTTGAAGGGATCAAAGAAGCGATGCGGTTGGCGTTCGAAAACAAAGAAGAGTCGTACGAGTTGCCAACCCTGAAGCTCGCGCCGCTGGGGCTGCAAAAACCGACTCCCGGGAGCAAAGCACAACGTCTGAAGCCGGAGGAATGGAAGGACAAGTTGGCAGGACAATACTACTACTACGCGGTGTGTGGGCAGCATAACGCGGCTGCAGCCCGATCGCTGCTCGACAGCGAGGTGGCCAGGAAGTACAATTTCGAGCGGTGGCCGACACGAATGCTGTATTTTTCGGACAATGACTACTAAGGGTATTTTCTTGTTAGTGTCCAAAACAACAAGAAGGACCTCAAGGCACCTCCTAGACAGTTGAAACTGTCTATGAAAGACATTCGGTGGCAGTGGAAGCATGACGGTTTCCCTAGAGCTGTCATGGGGAACCCTAGCGAGAAACAAGATCAGGTCCGGAAATGGCGTGAGTTTTGCACTCCGGCGCTCCATAAGGCGCCGCACAACAACTTGTGGATTCTCGCGGATCAAAAAGAGAGGAAGCCATTAAGAAGCAAAGTGCTGCCCTGCGCCATGGATTTTTTTGAAAAATGGGAGACAGGTAGATTGCTGAGCCACGACGGAGCAAAGTGGATCATCAAGAAGAAGAAGGTTAAAAACGTCAAGCCTGGGGTCGCCTATGTCGACAACGACAAGTTAAGCAGAAAGGAGGTGGTGTACAAAGTCCCTATGGAGCCGTCTACTAAGAAAGGCAAAAAGGAGAAAGAGGAGGGTGATTGGTTCCTGAAAGTGCCGGACCCGGACGCGCATTGTTGGAAAACGATGGAATCACTCACCGACAATGAGAAGTGTCGCATTCTGAAGAAGGTGCTTGCTTGCGAGATCGTTTGGGTCTAGGCCGGTTCCCCGTCGTTGGCGAAGTTGGGGAAGCTCAGTGTGCAGGAAATGGTGCAGTTGGTGAAGTGCGACCACGTGCTGGTCCGGTTGTGGAATTACTACGAATTCAAACACGAGAAGAGGTCGGATGCCGATTGGATCTAAAAGTACCTTTTCCTGAAATCGAGGTCTGCCGTGTTCAGGAAGTTCGAAAGTCGGGGATTGGATGACGATTTGTGGGACAGGAGCAGGAAATACGTTTCCGACTCGGCGCTGTTCAAGGACTGCCCACCGTATATGGGTTGCGAGGAGGACCACTCGATCGAGGCGACGAAAAAGTTGGCGGGCCACAAGAAGTTGACCGTCGACTGGAGAAACAAGGTTCTTTCTGTTGACTGAGAGTGGACTGAAGGGCCGGGGGATCGCACTTGCCGAAGACATTGTCCACATCAAATGGAAAGACACGGGGGACATGACATCCATCGCGCAATTCGGCAACGACCCTTTGGAGGCGGACATCAGGAGTGCAGAGCTAAAGGAAGCAGTGACTGCCACAAAGAGCCACACGTTCGTCCTCGATCTATGCGAGCCGGTTGACCTCAAACTGTGGAAACCCCAAGCGTGGGAGACTTTGAATTCCTACCTTCAGACGTGGTGTCCGTTGCATTGGACTCTCGTTTCTCGCCAGCATGCACCATCTTTCTTTCGTAAAGCTACTAGAAGGAAAGTGGGTGAGGAAGAACCAGCAAAGAAAAGTTTCCCCGTGGGGAAGAATTTGTACACGAAAGACGACCGCATGTACATCCTCTTCAAGGGTAACGATCTGCGCGTCAACACGTCCGTGGTCCATGAGGGAAGGTTGCCTAAGGGTGTCGCTGCTGAGGTGCGGTTGCCTCAGAGGGTTACCCAGACGGATGTGTCGGAGATTCCCTTCACACCTTGCGACTGGTCGCAGACCGCGCCGGAACGACCGGGCAGTGTCTACGGGGATATGGAACGTTATCCGACACAATTCGTCGGTCTTCTTGATTTTCTAAGCAAGAAGGGAGAGGGTGTCGTCTTCCTTGGGAAACCGCATGCGCGAAGCGTGTGGGAACTTCCGAAGGCAGGCCGACACGTTGTCGCGATGGAAGGGAACTCCGACCTCTTGCAATTCACGATGCAACTGGTCAAAAGCGAGGTCAATTCGAGGGCGCACAATTGCGAGGTCATGGTCGTGAAGGCGACACGGGATCGGGTGTGGAGCAACAAGACAGACATGTGGTTCAAGTTGAGCGAGAGGAAGAGGAACAAGATATACGACTTCTTGTTCCTTCAAACGCGGCCGAGGAAGGACACAGACGCCGAGTACGTCCGCCGCAAGGACCCCATGTTGGCATTGCTCGACAACCACCACTTCGCCTCCCTCATGAACGCGAAGACCTTTTTCGAAAGGCTGTAGTCGTTGTACTTCATGGAGTCCGAGGAGCAGTTAAAGTTAGGCAGTTACGCTTCCTTGATCTCCACTGACGACGAGGCAGCCACCGGTGTGGAGTTCGACGCCAATGCGAAGGAGGAGGAGAGCGACACCGAGAGCCTTGACCTGCAGTATGACCCACCTCTGGCGGAGCACGCCCCAGGGTCCTCGTCGACCGGTCCGTCACCAAGCCCGACACCCCTCGTGTCACCGACGGCCAGACCGGTGCCAGACACTTCGCCGATGAAGTTGTTGGAGAGACTCAGAGCTCTGGCCGTCCCACCGTGCACATTGCGTCCCGGGTCCGATGTTCCGCCCTATCATCCGTCTTGGAAGGATGACAACATCCACTTCCTGCTTGAGCCACAAAGTTATTCGCCTGAGGTGGACTGGGGCCATGGCATGATTTGGCATTCAGGAGTCATCCAACCAGCAATACAAAAGGGCGAGTGGGTCATGGCCGTCGCAGTCCCGGGCGTGGGATGGGTGTCAATCCTGCGCGAGTCGAAGTCCAACTTCTTGCACCTCGCGAGGATTTCGGTCCTCCAAAAAGTGAGGGCCGAAAATGACAGGTTTGGACCCGATGACCTGTCCGTCGTTTCCACAGCCGGGCGACTGTTCCATGAGCTTCAGGACAAGTGCTGGTTGGAAATGACGGAGGACTACTACGACCTTGACTTGAGCCCGTTGAAGGGCATGGTGGACTGGAAAGTGCCCCCTTCCAGTGGGCCGCACGGTAGTCCCGACGGGGGTGCACCTGGAGGTGGAGGGGACGGGGGTGGTGGTGTGGGGGGTGGCTAAGGAATCCCGCCTGGTGGGGAGGGAGGGTCTCACGGCGGCACCACGACACCGGGAGGCAGCGGTGAGGTGGCGGGTTTTGCCGTCGATCGGCATCCGTCTACTGGACCCTGGCAGGAGCATACGACACAGTTCGCCGACCTCCTGACTTCGTCCATGGGCTCAGCGAGGGAGACGTTGGCAGCCTTGGTTGCTCTCGGCAGCCGCTCTGGCGGAATGTTGAAGTCCGCCGTTATCCGAACTACGTCGGTTGAGGATCCGCCAGAGCAGTCCGCCCTGCACAGCCGCTCGGGGTTGGGGGAGCCAAGCCAGGATCCCACAATTGGCAGCGGTGCGGTGAGGGACGGAAATGTGTCGCCTAAGCGGAAGCGACGGCCTCTAGGATTGCAGCGAGAGGCTACAAGTGCAGGGTCCGGCAACACGGAGACGACGAAATCCGCTGAGATCCGAACTTCTTCAGGCGGGGGGTGTCGGCCAGGGATTGTCGTGCCGCCGAGAGGGGCAGCATGCACGGAGAGAGAAGGGCGGTCCTCGGGATTCAACACGGGCACCGGGGAAGGGGCTGAATTGCATGGAAGGAAAGTAAGGGAGGGAATGGAGGAAGGGAAGGAAGCGTAAGAATGAGAGCAAGAAGGGGAAGAAGGGGAGGAAGGGGGAAAAACGAAGCTCATTGAATTGCTTGAAGGAAGAGAGGGTGCGAAAGAGGACGTGAGTATTGGAGACGACGAAGGGGAGGACAGTGAGGACGATGCCGGATCTGGAGAGTCGTCTGACGAGTTCGGACAATTGTACGGACAGCATCACGACCAGCGTTGTCGAGCGGGGAACCCCGGGGGCAAAGCCGGTGTTAGGCTGCGGACCCCGGACCCCCGCCGTGGGATTCATCCAACCCCACCACCGCCGGACGACCCCCGCCGCCGCCCAGCCCCGGGTACCCCGCCGCCTAACCCCGCAGGCCCGCCACCGGCCCCGCAA